AAGATGTCACGAACACTCAGTCAAAATTTCAGCCTGATCCAACGATTAACGAATCGGAAAATGTAATTTGAAATTGGCTGGTCGGAATAAAAATCAGCAGCAAAACAAATACTTTTCTTCTCTCTTCTCTCTTGACGAAAGCTCTCTACCACTTTTATGTTCTTAAGTCTTTCAAAGACTTGTATCAATGAGCATAGAATAATTCTTCAAGGTTGTCCTATTTATAGATCATGAGTGATGCTTTCTCTTAAAGCCAAAACCCACTCAAAATAGTAATAAACACCGAATCCAATTCCGAATAGGAATGGGAACCAAAAGAGAATAGGGTTAGGTCATTGGGCCTTTGGCTGGACAACATGGGCATGAGCCCAACACAATGATATGATAGCCAAAAAGAGGTACCCTACTTAGGTACCGTCTTAAGAAAAATCACAAAGTAAACAGAGGAAGACTTACAAGCGAAGTTCCACGTCTCCGGAAACCCTGCCGAGTTCACCACAAGGTGCTCTGTCCGCGCATACAAGTAGCTTTCCCAAAAGAGGCGATTAGCCTTATCGTCCATCTTCACCACCAAACTCTTGGTTCCTCGATAGCGCATATGAATTATCGTACCTCGAAGAAAATGAGGGGCAAAGATGTTGAGCATGTGCCCTAGGGAAATTCCTCGGCCGGCCAGCTCCGCATACTTGATAAGCATAAGAAAGAGATTGTATTCATACAGAGAGAGTTGGGCCGGGCACACGTCATAGTAGCGGCAGAAATCCACCACCAGAGAAGGGAGGGGAAGCGTGTACCCAATAACAAAGGGATATGCGTAAAACGCGCAGTATCCCGGGCGGTGCAAATGCACTATATCCTTCCCCGCCAGTACCATTTCGATATGAGCGGGGATTTCCCACTTGTCTTTGAGCGTCGTGATCCCCGCCTCATCCATAGTGGAAGGAACGAGCGTCGGTTCATCTCTGGCAGGGCTGTTAAAATCAGTCCTCGCCTTTCCCGGGTGAGGAACCACCTCATCCACCGTCGGGAACCCTTCATCTTCCACCACCTCTACTCCCTCCTCAAGTATGGATACGTTATTCTCCGGCATCGGAGCACCAACAACCTTATAAGAATGGGAAGAAGTACTAGCCATTTGTTGTCTTTGATTGAAAGAAACGAAAACTATGAAGGGAAAAAGACAATGGTCACAGCGAATTCTAGCAGAAGTAGAAGTATGAAGGGCTAGAGAAGGAAGAGAAAATTTCAAGAGCTCTTTCTTAAAACAGTTGAAAAAAGCAACATTCAAATGAGAGGCTCACCCTCTACCTATAAGGGTATAAATGTCCTGAGCGGAAAAATCAAGAGCCGCCAATCAAAAAAATGGAAAGGGCACAGAAAACGACACGATGCCTGGGAAACGTGCGTCATAATGACGTTTGAGAAGTATTTATGACATCTTGAATTGATGTGACGGTCCAATTCCGAACTGACGTAACGGTCCGATGCAGTTCTTGAAGCATCACGTCTCTATCTTGCCATGAGGATCTCGCCCCTTGTGTAAGGCAGTCAGATTTTCCCATCTTTTTGAATCAGCAGAGTCCGCCCATCGAGCTCGCCAAGAGGCGACCCAAACAGGCGGATGGACTAACTGTATAGGTCAAAATCTGTCCACACGTAGATCGACGCTAAAAGGAATGGTAAGGGGTCGACTGAGTCGTGGTCGTATTCACAAAGCATAACAACGATAAGCACCTTGGCCATTGCCGAGATCGATCCATCACTAAGCTTGTACGGCGAAACATGTGTCGTAATGCTTGAGGGGAATAATGAAAAGAATAATCAAGAGAGGATATTTTGGTTAAAGATCGTTGGACAAAGGGTAACATTGGTAGTATAAATGGAAGGTAAGAAGGTAGGAAAGGGGGACTGATTCCCAAAAAAGAGGAAAAGGGAATAGAAGAATAGGAGGAGACCTCCAACAACAAAGCAAAAGTCTAGACTTTGGCTGAAAACCCTTGTAATCATCATCGCTGAATCAATAAGGATAGATATCATAATTGTCAATGGCATTTCTTCCTCTCCCTTTTTGCTCTTACAAGTATAAAACAATGTATCAAAGATGTAAGTTTATCATTTACGTTTGATGCCTTTTTATAACCTTAAGAAAAGCTATATAAACTCGATCTCGTTCGATTTTCGTGTTCACTATGCTTAGATCTAGAGTTAAAGGATAAATCACTTAACTTTTTAAGAGCAAACACAATACTCTTTTAAAAGAAGCAAACTAAAGTATAAAAATTATATGTATAAAAGATTTATAACTCAATACAGAATTTTTGTGAACGTGATTGCAATGACATGATCATTTATATTTTATAATGGGCATTTGGCAAAATTTGAAAGCAAGTTAAGTTGCCCTAGGAGAATTTTTAGTGTCAACTTGTACGGAGGAACTTGCCACCTTCAAAGCCTTCTTCTCCAACAACAAAGTGTACGCAGACCTTACCTCTACCCCAAGGTAGAGAAGTTGTTTCCAAATAGACCTCCGATATCCTTCCCTCCAAGAACTTCTCACCTTGCTCTTGGGGAGACTCGAACTCACAACCTCTTGGTTGGAAGTGGAGGTTGCTTACCGTCAGAGCAACCCCTCTTGTCCTTCAAAGTCTTCTCCAAAATCAAAAAATATTACCTATGCAGAAGACGTCTTCTCTCAAGTTCTTTTGGAATATTTCTACAACAAAATTTGTAATTAAGACAATAGTCTGTTTTAAGTTAAATGGACAAGTTATTCATTTTGTTATTTTTTTTCTTTCTATTTTAGTCGTTTTTAATCAAAATAGCGGGTAGTGAAGGCTCATTTAGTAGACAGCGAGCGAGCTACAAGCACCTTCTCCTATCAAAATGAGATGCAGCAACTACACGGCTATCGGGCTCATCCAAGGCGTATTTACGAAAGTAGCAGGAAACTTGACCGTCAAGTTTGAAAAAAGCTGGCCAAGCCTGTGTCACTACCAATTCACGTTCTTTATACATGTATATATTGTATACATACATTTAGCTCAGCAATATCGACGTCACATAAGCTCGGTCAACAATTAAATGCATTTAAAACACTAGTTTTGAATATGATTAGGTGTCTAGATGAAAATCCATGGAGTTGAGGAGTTGGAAATAGAATTCCATACAAGTACAAGTGTTGTTTCACCACTTTCAACATGCAATGGGAGTATTAGGGCACCCTTATCCAATTCTAGTTTGAATAGGATTCAAGACGAATTCAAGATTTAAACTTTATGGGTTCAACATTTATGGCTCTTAGTATTGAACTCATTATATATTTAAAGTTATGAGTTCATATCTACAATTTATTGCGATTTTAGTAAATTTTTGCACATCAAATTATGCTCTGTGTCGATAGTTATGGATTCAATTGAACATGTTGCTTTCATATCTACAATTTATTGCGATTTTAGTAAATTTTTGCACATCAAATTATGCTCCGTGTCGATAGTTATGGATTCAATTGAACACGTTGCTATATGGCTAAATCCGTCTCTGGATTCACCATGTCAAGGGATAACCTAGAGGTACTTTTTTACTGTAACTATAACTCTCATTTGAAACAATGTTAACATTTGAAACCACCTTAAAGGGATAAGTAAAATTGATTATGGATAGGTGGGAGAAGAATTATGAATAGCTAATTATCACTTTTAGTCTGTGGCAGAAACTATTTATATTTGGTAGCCGAAAAAGTATATAAAATATGTATAATTTTTGCATACAACATACATAATGTGTATATATATACAAAAAATATATAAATTTTATACATTTTTTCGGCTATTATTTTTAAAGTGACTATACAGTGTCATTTTTCCAAGAATTATTGCTTTCTTTACAAAATGATAGCATCTAAAAATTTTCTATTTACAGCCGAATCGAAATTCTTCGCCTTACCAATAATGGCCAAAGACTTCGAAAGCAAGTTGACCAAAGAAGAATTTTTAGTGTCAACTTGTACAGAGAAATTTGCCACCTTTAAAGTCTTCTTCAAACTAGAACATATGAAGTATTTTACTTGAATGAGGTATTATTACTTTTTGCCCGCGCCAGAAACTATTTACATCTGGTAGCCGAAAGTGTATAAAATTTGTATAATTTTTGTATATAACATACATAATGTATATATATACAAAAAAATATACACTTTATATATTTTTTCGACTATTATTTTACAACGACTATACAGTGTCATTTTTTCACTTGATAGGCCTATTATCCATTTGGAAGCATCTAAAATGCAGAGCACGTCTTCTCTCAAGGTTGCATTATTTAATTTTAATAAGGGAATTAATTAGTAATTGAGACCTATATACTGTTTGTGTAATGGACAAGTTGATGATTTTTCAATCCTCAACAAGACACAAAAATACTCTTTCTATCACAAATTGTAATCATGATTTTGTCCTATTCAAGAATTAGATTTTAGCACAAGTTTCTTTAGGTTCTGAAAAAAATTTCCGTTTCAGTTTACTATGGCAGCATTTCGCTGTTACTAAAATCCAGAAAAATGATGGCTTTCCAAATTTGAAAATAATCTGACTTGAACTTCTCATTTAGCATTAATTACACTTTTGTAACACAAATGTTATGGTATGTTCAAGATCACAAGTTTGAAATATCTTTCTTTCTTAAAGTTTATGTCTAGTAAACTATGTCACATAAATTGAAACAAGGGAGTATTAAAGGTGTTGAATTCAAAAGAAATGTTCTTGAGCGAGGGTCTTTCGGAAACATCTCTACCCCTCCAGCGTAGAGGTAAGGTTTACGTACACTCTACCCTCCCCAGACCCCACTTGTGGGATTTTACTGGGTTGTTGTTGTTGAATTCAAAAGAAATGTCTAACATGCCAAGAAATGTGCAACTTGCAAATATAACAATTTCATATTGATTTCCATAATATATATTGCCCCTCTTCTAAGTAGTCTAGCTATGATTAAGGCAAAGAGCTATATCTAGTACTAGCTAGCTAGCCTGCAGGCCTGAAGTACTAAACATGGCTTTCCTTTGCCTAATTATTCTTCTACCTTTGTTAGCTATGTCAATGGAGAGCACCACCATCACCAACCACACTAAACCTGGCTGCCAACCGAAATGCGGAAACATGACTGTTCCTTTCCCATTCGGGATTGGTATAGGTGCCGGTTGCTCCATAAACCGTAAATTCGCCATCAGGTGCGATACCTCATTCGATCCTCCAATTGCATATCTCAACACTGGAGGTATGGAGGTCCTTGACATATCAACTAGCCAAATACGTGTCAGAAACACCTTCACAGGCAGCTGTTATGAACAAAATGGCGAACTAGCTGAACGGAAAACTATGAGAATCGACACAGGAGTGCCATTTTTCACCTTATCTGATAAAGATAACAGGTTGACACTCGTAGGCTGTGATGATTTGGCTTTAGCTTCTGGTCTTTCGTTGTATGAAGGGCGTAATTTTAGCATTGGATGTATAACTTCGTGTTCAAGAAGTGTGGATGTGAGCAATGGGACTTGTTCTGGGATTGGTTGCTGTCAAGCAGCCATCCCTAAGGGACTGATGACCTTTTGGGGGATAGTGACTAGCATGCTTAACCATACTAAGGTCTGGTCTTTTAACCCTTGTGGCTATGCTTTCCTTGGTGAGCACGAGAAGTTTACGTTTCGGGGTGCATCAGACTTAACAGACCCGAATTTTGTAAGCAGAATAGTGAAAGATGTACCTGTTGTGATTGACTGGCAAATTGGGAATCAGAGTTGCAGTGAGGTTAGAAACTCCACTGCCTATTCATGTAAGGAACATAGTCTGTGCATTGATTCTGAAAGCGGGCGTGGAGGTTATCGCTGCATTTGTGAGGAAGGATATGACGGTAATCCTTACCTTACTCCTGGCTGCCAAGGTTTGTGTTCTAGCCTAATCTATACATGCACATATGTTCACTTTAACTTTGGATTGTTACAGTTGGCAGGATATTTCGCAAGTCTGGACTTTTTGGAATAGATCGCTTTAACCATAGATCTCGAGTTTAAGTTCTACAAATGACGAATACAGATTCGTCGAGCCACTGGATTTTCGAACAAGAAAAACTCTATTTTCTCACAGTTTAAGCAAATCTAGACGTTGCAACTTGCATAAACATCAACTGCCTATTCATGAATTCACGTTAGCAGCAATATGCGAAGTAAATAAATAAATAAATAGAAAACAGCATTAGTGAACTCCCTCAACCCCACCCCATTCCCCAAACAAAGGGGTAAATTTTACTTTCCAATGCACTAATTTGAGTATTCTTCTAACAGATATCGATGAGTGCGCAAAGAATCCTTGTGATGGGATTTGCAAAAACACTCCAGGAGGATTTCAGTGTTCCTGTCCAAAAGGATATTTTGGAGACGGTCAGAAGGGACGTGGTTGCCAGAAGGAGCGTGATCTCCCTATCTTGAAGTTATCTCTTGGTATGTAAACAATTACAATGCAGAATGATTAGCTAGGAGTTCCACATTTGGGTAGTTCTACTCGTGTAGTCTGTGTGTTGGAGATGCAGGAACAACAACAACAACAACAAAAAACCCAATATAATCCCACAAGTAGGGTCTAGGGAGGGTTGCGTACGCAGACCTTACCCCCACTTTGAAGGTGGAGAGGTTCTTTCAAATAGACCCTCGGCTCAAGTAAAGATGAAAAGAAAGTAGCAGTAACAAGCAGAAGAATGCAGGAAATAACACAGGAATAGTCATGGTAAACAAGGGGAATAAAGAATGAAGAATGAATGCCAAGATTTACATGAAAAACTCTTTTCAAATAAGAAAAACAAAACTATGGCTGATGAGCAAAATATCACTATCGTAAGGAGATTTTACAAACAGTACATCTGTAGACTATCCAATCTTATTCATGTTCCACATAAACTATCTTCATAAAAAATGTTTTGAGCAAGTCAGATGATAAGTGCAATTTGATTGCATACTGACCCCTTTTCATCTAAAGCTGACCAATATTTATCTTTTCTGGTATGTGGCTTCTAGTTGCGCCTTCTCTGGCTTGTGTAGTCATTGTTAGATGAGCAAATCCATCATCCTTCTAGTGGCGTGGGGGACGAGGGAATAACATGAAAATAATCACAACAAACAAGGAACACCAAAATTTACATGAAAAAAACCTTCTCAAAAAAGCGGAAAAATCGTGCAGGAGAAGCAAATATGGCTATACTAAGGAGATTTTACACCAGTACTCAAAGCATCACAAATTTTTTGAGGCTATTAGAAGAAAATAAAGTCTTCTAGTGGTTGTAGAAGAAAAATATGTCCTCCGATTCAAGAAACAGTGTCAAAAAGAAATGGCCCAGTGCTTTCTGATATTCTACTCTATTGATCAAATGCAGGTTTAGGTCTTGGATTATTGTCACTACTGGTTAGTGTCAGTTGGATATATTTCGGTATAAAAAGGAGAAAAATTTTAAAATTACGGGAGAAGTTCTTCGAGCAAAATGGTGGTATGCTATTAAAGCAGCAGACATCGTCGAATTTAAATAAGGTGTTTACCGTTGAAGAGCTTAAAAAAGCCACCAACAACTTTGCTAAAGATCGCATCCTTGGAGTAGGTGGAAATGGCATAGTTTACAAAGGGATTCTACCAGATCAACGCATAGTTGCAATCAAGAAGTCTAAACAGCTTGAGCAAAACCAAATAGAAGAGTTTATAAATGAGGTGGTAATACTCACTCAAATTAACCACAGGAATGTGGTGAAACTATTGGGTTGTTGCTTAGAGACCGAAGTCCCTTTATTGGTCTATGAATACATATCTCATGGTACCCTTCACCACCATATACATACCAATGGAGGAATGCCTTGGCTTTCTTGGCAAAATCGGTTAAGAATTGCTGTTGAATCTGCCGATGCCTTTAGTTATCTCCACTATGCAGCTTCTACACCTATCCTACATAGAGACATCAAGTCAGCAAATATACTACTAGATGACTACTACACAGCAAAGATTGCTGATTTTGGGGCTTCAAGGCTAAGACCTTTCGACCAGGCTGATATGAGTTCGCTCATACCAGGAACATTGGGTTATCTAGACCCTGAAGGCATACAAATGGGATTGTCAGACAAGAGTGACGTCTACAGTTTTGGTGTAGTTCTTGCTGAGTTATTAACGGGAAGAGAAGCTATTGATCTCACTCTACCCAATAAAGAAAAGAGCTTAGCTGCATATTTCAAAGCTTCTGTGAAGGAGAATCACTTATTTCAAATTCTCCATCACAGGGTCTTAAAAGAAGGCTCTTTGGAGCAGCTTACTGCCATTGGTGAGCTTGTGGTTAGATGTCTTAACACAAATGGAGAAGAAAGACCTACTATGAAAGAAGTGGCAACTCAATTGGAAGGATTCACTAAATATAATAGTCGTTCTTGGGCTCATCATGATCAAGAAAACAATCAACTACAAATGGGAGAAATGATCAGTGAACAGGAGGACCTTTATAGTGTACTAATGTACACTTCCACCAATTATGATACATCATCAAGTGATCAACAAAGCACTGAAATTAGCGTGAAACGTGAAAAAGACCCCCTCTTTGATGACTAATTATTGAAATTCCATAAATTAGTGTATTTGCATGCTTATTTGATCATTCATTCATGCAAATTAAAAACCTAACAATTTAATAGGATATTTGTGTTTTTATGTGATCAACTTCCATAATTTATTTATTGCTTAATTACTATGATGTACTAGCGGTCTCTACATGAGTATTTATGTAATTTTTTTATCATTGGCTTTGGCTCTAATCGCTTTCTAAAAACCCATTAAAGAAAGAAATGGTTGCTTGCCTCACATTGTTCCTTCCTCTCATCCCATGTGATGTCAAAGCACTGTTCCGGTGCTGTAAAAACAGGAAACTTTTCAAAGAGAAGAATACATCGACGACCCTCTAGACTAACCAAAAATTCTTATTTAGATCACCGAAACTTGGGGTGAGAAATTGAATACTTTAAGTAGTCCAAAATTATTCCAAGTAAACCCCTCAAAAACAGCTAGCAAGAAATACAAATTTTTTTAGCAACTCTCGGATGAGGTGGAAAAAGACAAATCAAAAAACAAAACAGCAAAAAGTAAAAAGAACTCCACCAACATAGGAGTTCACACACTCCTGATCGAAGTCTTGAGAAGGAGTGGTGCATGAGTGGTGCAAACTGCAAAGGAGTAGAGACAGATGGTGTTGGAGATGGCGAAGGAAAAGATTGAAGTTTTGTAGTTGAGAGGCTGGGATCCTCCAAAATCGGAAGTGGTATTTGAGAAGATTTTCACCGGTAGAAACGCATGGTAATGATTTGCCAGCGATGGAAGAAAAAGAATGGCCAAAAAATCATGGTTAACTTTAGAAAAGGGGAGATAATTTCCTGTAAAAATTCTGGCAAAACTTCCATATTTTCCTGTGAAAGTCTTTTTCTATACACGCTCAATTTAAATTAGAAAACTCAAGTTCTGACATGTTAGCATAAAGGGTTCATTAGAACATATCTGACAACTTGAGATATTTCACAACTATAATCAGTTGCCTAAATAAAAATTACTGGATAATTCATGGGTAGAGCCAATGAGTGTGAACAATACAAGTTCCCATTAACATCAATTAGTTGATTAATATAAAATTAAAGTATATAGTAAAGGCTCGAGTGTATAGAAAAGACCTCACCGTTTAACAAGTAACCATAGAAACAGAGGAACCCACTATTTAATTTTTTATTTTTTTAATTTACTAGGCTTTTCATACCTAGGAGGATATGTGATCAGAACTCTATTTAGTATTCCTCCTACAATCATTTATATTTTATAATTCATTACAACAAAACAGGCAAGCTGAGCTCGTTTTCAAAGCATATAGCGATGGTTGAAACTGAGACCTTATGCACCGTCACAAACAGCAACTAAATTTCAGATTGTTGAGATTAGGAAAGGAGTCGAACAAGATCAAATAAGAAAAATGAATTCCGTAAAAATTTCAGAGAAGCAAAGGCTTAGACTAAAGTAAAAAAGAAAAAATTCAGAGAAAAACTGACCTGATGGCCGGCAGTCGGCGGGAGATAAGGGATTAGTCAGGGATGCAACTTGTCCACCGGTAACAAACAACAAATGCAAGTCTGTTGAAGAGAAAACAAACATAAGCAACTGTTGCAAATTTGGAAATCCCCAATTTGTAAACCTAGGTCAAATTCTTACTCGTCCCAAATTCTACGAATTATCTATGATTTGAGGCATGACATTACTTTGAATCGATACAAATACTGGAGAACGGATCATTCAAATCCCCAAATTCCTCAACTTTGTACCGATGGGAGTTTCAGCTTCGGATCGATGAGAGTTCCCTCTCTTTCTTTGAGTTTCCCTCTTTCCAAAATAATTGAATTTCCCTCCATTTTTTATTTCCCTATTTCCTTTTTCGAAGAAAATATTGAAAAGACTGCATACAACTCAAGGGCCTAAATGATTTTTAATAGAAATGAGTGTATATTTGTATCAATTCAAGTTTTATTTTAATATCTTATCTATATATTAAACTTTGACTTAACCTTTTTCTTAAGTTTTTTTGTAAGAAAATATAATATTGTATATAGATTTCAATCATATTAATCTAATTTTGACAAGTATTTTTATCAAAATAGTCTTTTAGAGAAGTACAACTACATATAAGTAATTTGTGTTTAAATAATTTATTTAAAAAGTGCTATTTTTAATATTTGATAAATATATTATATTTGATTTATCTTTCAAAAAAGAGCCTTTGAGGGCCAAATTACGGGGAAAAAAAACAATATTAAGGTTCACATTATAATTAGTATGATCAATGTCGTCTCCCACCTTCTTTTGTATTATATATATTATCTAAAAGACCACAATAGGATCAAATATTGTAGAAGAGTTAACTATATAAGATGCATATTAGCAATAATAATATATATTTTTTTCAACAAATAAAAGTCAAAAGCTTATGCTACAGTTTCAACGGCATAACTTTAATTTAACATTAGAAGTAGGTGGGGAGTGGTAAGGTTTTGGAAAATGACTTATTATTACTTCGTCTTAGCTGGGAAGTAGGAAGTTGGGTTGGGCGTCACGCAATTCGGATTAGATATTGTGGTTTGAATTTTCGATTTTCGGATTGAAGAAATAATAATCTAAATTCAATTCAAATAAATTCGGATGGGATCGGTTTTTTTAAGTTTGGATTCAGATTAATCGGTTTGAATATTTTGGATTTTCGGTTTTGAGCTCATAAGCTGAGATGTTTCTTCTTTTTACGATAATGAACATCCAAATGAAGTATTCATGTTAAATTGCCTAAAAAATTTCTTATTTTCACCGCAACAATCCAAATAAAGTATTCAAATAATGAAATCGTCATCAAAAAAATTCAACAAAGACACTAGTAAGACCGATAAGAACTAGCAATAATAAAATCATATCCAAATAGAAAGTAGTCTGATAGTAACTTGGTAATTACTTTAGTATTAAATATATGAGATTATGTAGAATAGGATATTAGACTTATTACTATTGATATATGAATAATGGACTAAATATAAAATATAAAATTTTGGATTTTCATATATCCAAAAATTTAAGGTACCAAATCCAATATCTAATTTGAAATCCAAAAATTTTAAAAATGAAGTCTGAAATCAAATCCATAATCCAAAAATCCAAATAATTTGAATTTCGAGTATTTGGAAGTTTCTTACTGTTCTTTCACCTAATAATTTACTATATTAAGTGATGAAATATACAAAAAGGGTAAAAGAATAACGAAAGTAAAAGAAAAAAGAGGAACAGACAATGACAATTGACAAGAAAGTTAACGCCGAGAAAATGCCATGCAGCCAGAATTTTCTACGTTGTTTACCGACAAATAGAAAAATTTGCCCAATTTGACTCAAAAGCATCTAAAATCCCTTTAGCCGATCATCATTCTCTTATTTGTAGTAACGTCACACGTAACTATAATAACATCCTTATATAATAATATTTTTTTATAAAAATTAAAAATTTTCGGAATCAATCTCATATTTTATTATAATATACATTTTCTATAATAACAATTCACTATAATGTCCAAATGTATCCGAAACAAATAAGTTTGTTATAAAAAATTTAACTGTAATTATTTACTTTAAAAAGTACCATTGAATTTGTATACGCGTTTATAGACACGTGAATTAAAATAATCCAATTAACAAAATTAAAAATTAAAAATAACAATATAAAAGATACTCAAAGAATGAAACAAGCCTGAAATTCAGATATGAAGTTCATTCGAGTAAAGTTAACAACTAAGCTCAGAAAAATGTTTTTGTGTAAAACTATAAAAATGAAAGAAGAAAAGTTTGTTGTTGATGATTCTTTTGGATCGTGTCCTTACAATGAGTATAAATATCTCTATTAATAGCTGATCACGCCCAACTATGTCATATAAAAAGGATACGCGGACGTTGCAAATATAATCTGAGTATTTCGCTCAGAGTCGAACTCACAAGGAATTAACCTATCAATTACTCTTGTCAGACTTACTAAATTCTACGTAATCAACTTCCCAAAACGTTTTGAATAACAATTGAGGATATTTTTACTAACTATGATGAACTGCAATTAAATAAATAAAGACTAACTATGATTAAGTTGTAAACAATTAAGAGAAGGATCTAAGGTAGTGATTTCCCCTATTGATGGAATCCCTTCCGGTTATGTTTCAGATAGAATCACCTAATCGTCTCTATCAATCATGAGCACTCTTATTACCGTAATTCTCTCCCGAGTAATCACGACAATTTACTAGACACACTCTCCCGAGTTACGCTAGCTGGCTTTGTTTATTACAGCTCACTTTAGATTGCACCCAAGGCTTCGTTATCCCTAATTCCGCCTTTAAACTCGCAGTTATAGATCTCTCTTATACTTTGGGAGTGATGTTGTTCAACAACTACCTAAATATGCACTCTCTTCCGAGTTATGCACACTAAATAGGCACAGCTAATTGAGGATTCTATCAATTAACTACAACAAGAACATAGTTGAACAAATAGAGATTAAACCAGACAAACTATATTAACATAACAAGAAGTTCATCCCTCAATAGGTTCCATCAAAACCCTAGACTAAATATTTAGCTACTCATAATCGTGTTCATAATTTCCCAAATAAATTGCATAATTAAATTACAAAGCAAATATGAAGGAATGAAGAATTTGATGTCAATCTCCTCCGAAAATTGCTCCAAACATTTTCTCCCTTCCGCAATAGCCTCCCTAGGTCTAAGATATGTCCAAAGTCTTCAAAATGGAATTTTTACATGTATTAACACCAAGTAGGGTCGGGCCCAGACGGAAAAAACCTTTCCTGCGGGAACTAGGACTAGCTCTGTAGAATTTGCACAGCCGCGCCGCAGGCTGTGCTGCACCATGCGACGCGGTAGTGCATTTTATCTGCAGCCTCATATTTTCGATTCAAGCTCAACTTTACACTGCTGCGGCGCCCCATGTGGCGCAACAGTGCAATTTTCTCAGAGTGAACTTTTTCGTCCTCTTTTAACATCCAGACTTGGTACACGACCTCCAAACACGATCCTGACTTAATGCATTGAGCTTTTACTCAGACTTCAAAGCTCCAAATCGATCAATTTAGCTCCAAATTAACTTTTGAGCTCCGGATCGCTTCCTGCCAGGCATAAAACACGTACTAAGTGTAATTCACTATCATTTGAGCTCTAACGCACATAAAAATGCAATCATTGGAATGTAATACCACGGCTAAAACACGAATTTCTAGCCTAACATCAGCACCTCACACTTAGACAATTGCTCGTCCTCGAGCATTTGAACTACACTGCACATAGGGACAACCGTTCATCAAACAACCTCCCTAATACACCATGCCAAGAATAATTAAAGTTGATTGAGCACCTTATCATAACATCTCACCCTCAAGATTCGACTCAAAAGTATCATGCATTAGTCACTCGCTCACTTACTCTAACATAGAGGTCAATGATATTACCTCTCCTTCCTGAATCAAGTGCCCTCACACAACAAACGAGAGAAGTCTCACACAATAAAATTTAAGAATATTTAGGAACTCAAGATAGAAAGAATTCACTCACTCTCAGAAATAACATTCATATGCCACAAAAGATGCACCATAGGCTTGCACGTAGTGTACTACTCTACTAATTGAGTTCATTCAGTTTAAGATTAAGTAGGACTTTAATTGGTTGTAATGTAGGCTGCGGGACGGGTAGAATACATTTAGATATAAGAGTGACTACACCTCACTAAGCACTTTAATACATATACTTTAACCTTCAAACCCCACTTACGTCAAACCAAAACTCCACCTTCACATCAATCTAGATTAACTCCCTATATCTTTAAGCACAATTACGTCCGGAGCCACCACTATCAAAGAATATATATATATATATCATTTTTTTCTTTTTCTTTTCTTTCTTTTTCAATTCAAGTGGCTCTTACTTTCTTTTTTTTTAAAATAGTGCACCTTTCTCCTTATTTCATTAGTTCCACTCAAAACCCAAACCAACTACCCCACACTTTAACTTTTACAAAGTTCATAACAATTCAAGTGCTCATGAGAGGTGAAAAGGTTCAAAAAGATGGTTAATTCAAACAAATGGGTAAGGCTTGTACTGTGGTTACCAAAGAAACAAGATTACAGGCTCAAAAGGGTTAACTACGATACATAACAATTAGGCGGGTAAAATATGTATATATGGCTCAACAAAGAAATGCCTATATCACTTCCAAGACTGAACAAAACTACTATTTCGCTTTGCAAACACACAGGGCAAGTTCTAGACATCAAATGCAATGCACTGAATAACACAAAACCTCACACACACACATGGCACATAACTCACTCAGGATTGATTTCATCAAGACACTCTAGTCAAAACAGTTAAGCAAAGTTAAAATCATACAATTTAAGGAATTTATTCAAGAGTCAAGAATTGAGCCTAGGTGTCACAACTAAGGCCTTTACCACTCTCAAGGCATATGCAATTAAGGAAAATTGCTCCTTCAACTTAGCTTCCTAACTAAAGATTCTTAATTCCTAAAAATAAAAAATAAAATTTAACCACACCCGATTCAAGCAAAACCTTGGAAAAGAACCGCGGCATAAAGAAAAACCAAAGGGGAATTGTTACACTACCTAAAAGAAAAAAAACTAAAATAAAAGACATATTTTTGGATTTTCACATATATGATTTTTTCTTTCTTTTCTTCTCGACTCATCTCCCTCAAGAAATCAGTCGACGATATCCATCGTCGGGAAGAGTCGAACTACATACTTAATTACTAACTATTACAGGCCCGATGGAATTCAGAATTATAGTTTACAAACCAATTGTCTAAGAAAGCAAGAAACAAACAAAGGAAAGTACAAATACAATCAAATATGAGCACCCCAC